TTGTTTCCACCGGAGGAGTGCCTCCTCTAGAGCGAGCCACTCCAAGTGCTGGGCACATCATGAGGAGATTGGGACCTGCCACCAGGGTACCTGTATCAGGATTGTATCCTGTATCAGGATTTTTTGAGACAGTATGTTGTTCAGACTGGCCTTGAACTCACTATGTAGCCCAGGCTGGCCTCAAAGTCACAGAGATCCTGCTGCCTCCGCCTCCTGAGCATCGGGATTTAGAAGCAGATTTCTAAAGGCTTGGGGATGACACTCCATTTCTAAGTCCCCACTAGACAGGACCCCCAGGGCCTGCTCTTCCTCTTTGCCCTTTCCACGTTCAGCGTGCAAGTCATTAAGGAGCAGTGGGTTACAAAAGGGCTGTGTGCAGGCCGAAGGTCCCAGGGAGACGATAGACTCTGAGGAGCAGGTCTGAGGTAGCTCTCAGAGGAGGGTCCCTTTTATCATGGCCTTGCAGCATGAGAATAAGCTCAAGAATTCCTTCCCACTGGAAAGGGCTGGCAGTGTGTTTGTGTCTTAGTCACTTTCCTCATCGCTGGGACCAAATACCTGACACCCTCAGTTTAAAGAAGGAGAAGTTTATTTTGGCTCACAGGTTTTAGTCCATGGCTGACCAGTTCCAAGGTGGGATGCATGGTGGAAAGGCCTAGGCAGAGGAAAACTGCTCCGGTCACTACGATAAGGAAGCCGAGAGAGAAGGGAGGGGCCGGGAAGAGGGACACACCCTTCTAGGCCCCACAGCAAGTCAGCTAGGGCACCCTCATGTCAATCATTTCCAGAAGCCCTGCCTCTGAGCACATGAGGCTCTTGGGAGATGTTCTTGATCTAAAGCATAACATCTTAGGCTAGGGATTTAGCTCAGTGGTTCTGCTGCCTGCTTTGAAAGTGTAAGGTCCCAAGTTCAATCCCTGGTACTACTCCCCGCAAAAAGCATAACATCTTAGAAGCAGGTTTGGACCCCTTGACTGAGGATGGGTGGGGGGAATCATGGTTACCCTGGGCATATCTTCATCTTGAAGCTTTAATTTTTTTTTCTTCTGTTACTGCAATTGAACTCAGGACCTTGCCCTTCAAGGCAGGCACAGTGCCACTGAGCTAAATCTGGGCCCTTGAAGTTTTAATTTTAAACCTTTAATAAAGTAGCACACCAGCCCTGACAGATGGGCCCCAGGGCAGATGTTAGACAGAGAGAGCAGCAGGTCTGAGCAGGGGGGACCGGATACCATCTCCTTGTCCAGAGGACTGTAGGTTTGCAGGAACCCCCGCTGCAGGAAAATTGGTTTCAGAAACACTCTGCATCCAAGCTAGGAGGCATTGTTTACTTTTATTTATTTATTTTTCTGCTACTGAGGATTGAATCCAGGTCCACTGTGCAACACTACATTCTCCAGTTCTTTTAAATTTTTTTATTTTGAGATAAAGTCTCACTAAGTTACCCAGGTCACTTACAGTTCTCCTGCCTCAGCCTCCTGATTGCTGGGATTACTGGAGTGTGCCACCATGCATGGCCTTTGCTTGAATCTCTGACCTGGAGGCTGGATCTCACTCCTCATATGAACAAAATGAGACTGTGGCTTAGGAGGCCAAGGGCCATCTCCCTCAAGTGGCTCCCACCCTGTTCTGGCCCTGCCCCCAAGACCCAGATCCCCAGGTCCTGGCTCTCAGCCTTACTAGCCACCTGAATAGAACACCTGCTGTTGGGCTTCTAGCCTGGCTCCTTTCTGTTGGGCACCAGGGCTGGTCTGTGTCCCCCTTCAGGTCCCAGCTCAGTCAAATGGGCTCAGGATGGCAGGATGGGCACCTGCTGGACCCCTAGTCCCCCCACCCCTGCAGCACTCAGGGCACCTGTACTCTGAGAGGTGGGCACAGGGAGGGGACAGTGGGACTGGTCCCTCAGGGTTACAGTCCAGGGAGCACCATGCAATGTGAACCTGGACTTGGATAAGATCTGGGACATTATTAATATCATAATTGGAATAATGACTGTTATGTGGCAATCATCAATCAGGGGACATGTTGGAGCAGGTGTGAGCTCAGATGTGGCCCCAGTCCCGGCCTTTCTCGCTGTGTAGTGTTGGGCAGGTTGTGGCTACACTTAGGCCTCAGTTTCCCCACTGTACACAGGGCCTCTTCCCAGCCTTTGGGCCACCCAGACCCCTGTGCAGCAGGGAGGGGAGTCACAGCAGTTGCACCTGCCCAGTGTCCTGACCCATTCCAGTGCCCTGAGTGGCCTGTCTGGTGGAGGACGTGGGAGGCTCAGGAAGGTCCCTTTGCTTAGTCCCTGACAGGATGGACTCTTCCCTGCTGGCCAATTTGGGAGAACAGGCTGTCTTCTCAGCTGGAGTGGGAGGAACTTGGTACCATTTGGTGGGAAGTTGGAAAGTCGGGGAGATGAGAAAGAGAAGGGCCCACAAAATGTGTTGAAGAAAGTACAAAGGGCACAAAGCATTGGCCATTCCTGAGCTCCTCTCACACCGGCAGGCTTTGATCTGTGTCAGGATTATTTTAGGACTCACTCCCCAAGGAAGTGCAGGGCTTGGGAGAGAGGAGAGAAAGGAGGAGAATGTCAAAGCTGAGAGCATGTTGAAGAGGTGTGAAAGGGATGTTGCTTGATCGTGACTCACTCAGAGGTAGCAACTTAATTTTGCCAATAAGATAAAGTCAGCATCATCTGCTCGTTTAACCCCCAAAGAAGTGTTGTGATTATGAGGAAACTGAAGTTCAGGGAAGATAAGTAACTTGCCTAAGGTCACACAGCAAAAAAGTTGCCTGTTCCAGAGCCCACAGCTAGGGGGCTCTCCACAGCTGGAAGGGGAGGGGGATTCCCTGGGTCTTCCATGGAGCAGGTTGGTGAGATCCTCCCATCTACACCTCAACCCAACTCCAGGTCTCACCATGAGAGAGGCCTTGTTCCAGGTGGTAGTGTGGGGCAGTGGGCAGGAGCACCAGGCTGAGGTCGCCATGGGTCCTCTCTCCCAGCTATGGGGACCAGGTGCAGCATTTCAAGGTGCTGCGTGAGGCCTCGGGGAAGTACTTCCTGTGGGATGAGAAGTTCAACTCCCTCAATGAGCTGGTTGACTTCTACCGCACCACCACCATCGCCAAGCGGAAGCAGGTCTTCCTGCGTGACGAGGAGCCTCTGCTGCAGGTAGGTATGGTCGTGGAGGGTGGGAGCCACAAGCCTCTACCACCTCTGCCATCTGTGTCCCTGATGGTCTAGTGGTATCACAGGCAGGCCTGGCCCAGGCCCCAAGGTTATATGCCAAGGAGCGTACAGCAAGACAAGAGAGACAGGCAAGGGTTGGGAGAATGGGGGCAGTAGCAATCCCACCAGGGTGAACCATTCTGGCTCATTCTCCACTCCTAGAATAGTATGTGGCACACAGCAGGAGCTCAGTAAATGTTGACTGAATGAATGGATAGACCTGTGCTGAGCCCACCCGGAACCACACCTCTCTCTGGTCTCTGTGCTCTGGGAGCCTCAGCAATCCCATTATACACACGAGAAACAGGCTCGGAGTGATACGATCTCCTCGAGGCCACATGCCTGGAATGCTCAGTCCTGGTTTCTGCTCACCAACAAGAAGCTGGCTTGGCCAGGGTATGGGGAGGTGCGCACATCTGTGGGCGAGGTCCTGGTTGTGTGGGGGTCCATCTGCCCCTGGTCCTCACAATAACAGCAATTTGTTAGCATGCAGCCCTTTCATCAAGGGGCCCCAAGGACTGGCTCTCACTCTCATTAGGATGATGACACTACCAGTGGGGTTATTAGCCCCAACGTGCTGTTTCCCTTAGAAAGGGGGGTGTTGGCAAAGCCTGGGGCAGAAGGTTAGGACCTTGGGACATTTGAACTTGGGCTGTGCAAGGAGGACGGCGAGCATGTCTATAGTAAAGGCCTGGGGAGGGGCTGTCATGTTGCCAGCCCCCTCAAACATTTTATATGACTTGAGAGCCAGTTTAGCTCTTAGTTGGGACTCAGTTTCCCCAATAATAGGATGAGCCTGGGGGTGTGAAATGCCAAGAGGATTAAACAGGGCCTCAAGAAGCCCCACTGGTGACTCTGCTCTGCAGGGCTTCTGTTACTCAGACCTCCATCCCTCTGCCCAGCACCTGGGCCAGCCCTGGCCCTGGAGAGTGTGAGGGAGCCAGGATGGAGCTGCAGGGTGGCTGCCATGCACCCACTTCCTTGCTTTGGCCTGGGCCTGAGGTCACTCATCCAGTGGGGTGACTGCAGAGCTGGCTCAGTCCCCCGAGACTCCTGACGCCTCCTCCTTCCTGGGCAGAGAACCGCTAATTACAGCATCTCTGCTGATTCTATCACCGTTCTGGATGGGATTCCACAGGCTCAGGCTAAGATCCTGGTAAGGCAGGCAGGGCCACCACCATGGCGCCAAGCAGACATGTGGCAGAGAGCTCCTGTTCAGCTGCTGTGCACAGGAGAGGACCAAGTCCCACACAGGGCAGGGGCATTCTGAGGTCATATTTGGAGCACAGACAGCACTGGAGGCCAAGCCTGACTGTTGGGGGCACCTCTAAGTGGCAACCATGTCCTTGACCAGAGGCAACAGCAGGAAACTCGGGTCTTGGCCTCACAACACTCCACTGAATGGTGTCCTCTCCTGCAGTCTATGCCTGGGTCAGTTTTCCTGGCTGCTGCACAGTAGGGGAAATGAGACCAGGAGAGAGCCAGGGACCAACCAAAGTCCCACCTAAGGACCAGCACTTAGGTCCCCACCCCCCGCCCACCAGCCCTCTTTGCGAAGAGAAGAGTCGGTCGTCGTGGTGCTCGCATCTGTGAAGACGCAGTGCCAGCCGTGGGCAGCACACAGCCCATGGGATGGGGTGGTCACCCATCTGGGCTTGGCCAGGTCCAACGCTGCCTCAAAGCTCCTTCACACCCTCAGAATCCCCAGTACCCCGTCGACCTCCTGGGGCTCTCCAGGTCTAGGGGCTTGCAAAGGCACCCCACTAACAGCTCCCTCCCCCCGCAGTCTCCCCGCGCCTGCTTTGCCCAGGCCCAGTTCGACTTCTCGGCCCAGGACCCTTCCCAGCTCAGCTTCCGCCGCGGGGACATCATCGAGGTCCTGGAGCGCCCGGACCCACACTGGTGGCGGGGCCGGTCCTGCGGGCGCGTGGGCTTCTTCCCGCGGAGCTACGTGCATCCGGTGCACCTGTGAGCGCTGCGGAGCTGGCCGGGGGGCGTGTGCAGGACCCGAGGTCCCGGGACAGGACGCGGACACCTCCTCCCCGGGTTACAAAGGGCTCAGCGGACAGTCTGAGGCCGAACTTTGGGTCCTCACTGCTTCGCAACCCTTCGCACAAACTGGGACAGGCCCCATCGCCCCAGATCTGCCACTGTACTTAGCGGCCGGGGCGAGGTAGCGCCAGGATTTCTGTCTGGCCGCTTCCCATTGGGCTCCGGCGGTATGACGTCACGGGAAGGCTCTTCAGAGGCCCCACCCACTGTTTTCAGAAGCCAAATTCTGGGGAGCACTTGAGGACTTCCTGTGTTCCACTGACTGCGGTTTAACTCAGAGAATTCTGGACTTGGTGGGTGGGCCCACCTGAGCAGACTGCCCGCATAAATGTTCTCGGGTTGTACGGGCTGTTGGGGAGGTGGCTCTGCCCGGAACGACCCGGACTTACCAGAACCCTTGCTTCTCTACAGCCCCGTGCCTTTGGGCTCCACCCAGCGCCTACAGACACTTTGGGTGGGGTTGAGGCCCTGGGACCAGAACAGGGGGCAGCGGTGGTGGCAGGCGCAAAGGTGATGATGGCTCCTTTACCGTTGGTCACTTGCGTGGACAGCTCTGGGGTGTACACCTGGCTCCTGCCACGCAGGAACACCGGGCTGCTGTGACTCTCCTTTGTCCTGGCTCTGCACAGACCGGGTCAGGTGGGGAGACAGGGCAATCCACAGGCTAGTGTGATGTTGGGACCTGAGCTGGATTTTGGTTGAGCAGCAGTAGGAAAAAGGAGAGGCAGCCTAGGTAGAGAGTCCCGGCTTGAGTGAAGGTGGGACATCCAGATGGAAAAGCAGTGGACACTTCTGGGAGCAGGAAGATGGAAGCGGGACTCAGGAAGTGTGGGAATGCCAGGCAGCTGGTGGAGGGACCACGAACAGAGCAAAGGAAGCTTCTTCCACATGCCAGGAGCAAGCAGGATGGAGGAAAAGCCTGTGAGGTTGCTGCAGCCCCTTGAGAGAGACCTGTGTTGTAGGCTTGTAGAGCTCCCCTCTGGGACCCTGTGAGGCCCAACACCCTTTGAGTACTGAGCCCTGGCAAATCCCACTGCTCCTGACATGGGCCTGTGTATTCAGAATAAAAACTGTGGAACTAATACAAGGATGTCCATCAGAAATCCAATTTTTTCTGAATTATGATTATTTTGATGCTAATTTTGAAGCAGTGTGTTCTTTTTCCCATTTCCCCTCCTAATTTTTCAGGGTTTCTTTTCTGGCTCAGCCAGTAAATGGGCACCAACCAGCTCTGTAGCTGTGAGAGGAGTCAGGCCTTCTCTGGGCCCCAGTGTCCACTCTAGAGAAAGAGGGTGGCTTAAGGACTCTGGGCTCCCTCTTTCCTGCCCAGAGTGGCAGCATCAGGCAAAGTAGGCGTAGAAGAAGATGTTGACGCACATGAGGAGGACAGCATTGAAGCCACACACACGAGCCCAGAAAAGGCGTCGCTGGGGCGTCTGGCTGTCACCTGGAAAGAGTTGGGGAGGGATAGGTGAGGGATGCAAGGTTACACCCCTGAGCTCATGCTTCCAGCCCGTCTCAGGTTGGAGAGCTAGGGGGAGTGCCGAGGGTCGCCCGAGTACCTGCTTTGGCTCCCAGGGACAGGTCCTGAGCCAGTGTCCACCAGGTAAGGTTTGCAATCTGAAAGGCATATGAGGGATGGGCTGTGGCAGGGCGGGGATGGGCCCATCATGGACTTCATCATGGAAAGATGAAGCTGAGTTCAAAAGAGGATAGAGGTCAGAGCCCGGCAGGGTTGGGCTCAGGGGCTAGAAAACTGGAGCTGGAGAGGGTCAGGGTTTTTGCAGAATAGGATCAGGGTTAGAAATTGTTGGAGTTGAGGTTAAGAAGCCTGTAGGGTCCAAAGTCCAGGGAAAGCTCACCTGAATGTGCTGGGGGGCTGCAGTTAGCAGGCTTCCGGCTGCCACGACAGCACCCGTGAGCAAAAAGAGGGCAATGGCAAAGTGCAGGTAGTGGATGCTGTGGAGGATGGCTGGCCGGGTGTCCGGATCACCACACGGAGGAGCTGGGTGCAGGAATTCCAGGACTAGCCTGGTGGCACCTACCACCAGCCCTGCCATCAGGCCCCAGAAGGCCCCCTGAGGAGGAAGGGAGAGTGCTAGCTGTGGACTGTAGGAGAAAGACTGGCACCCCGCCATTCCCCTCTCAAGGCATTAGGGGAAGGTCTGAAGAGACGTGTCTGTAGGAGGAGGTGGAGAGCTCCTGCTTGCCTACCTGTTCATTGGCACGCCTCCAGAAGATGCCCAGGATGAAGACTGCAGTCACTGGGGGGGCCAGGGAGCTGGTCACAGACTGCATGTAGATGAAAAGCTGTCCACCGTTGGATCCCTGCAGGATGGGGATCCATGCCACACTTACACCAATGAGCACCACGATGACCAGCCTGTCGGTGATATGGGTGGTGGGTGTTCAGAGACACTTCCTCAGCCCGGCACCTGCCCCAGTCACTAAGACATGCTCTCTCACCTCTCTGTCCCCTGTAGCCCAGCTGCAGCCTCCTGCCAGCCTATGGCTTACTCAACCAGTAAGTGGCTGGTTTTTCTGCTCCAGACCCTCCCAAATCTCTCTACAGTGGTAGGTTCAGCCTCTGACTCCCAGCACTGCCTGCTCCGCTCTTCCCTGGGGAAGAGGCTGAGTTAGCCCTTGGAGTACCCCATGGGGACACTCCTCCTAGTCCCCTCCAAGGTGCCTGTCCCAGCTCCATGTGCACATTTGCTTGGGTATTTTCTTGTCTTCTACCTGTCTCCCTCTCCCAACTGGACACTCCAGGAGGGCAGGTATCTCCCCCCTTAGTTCGAGGCACAGTGGGCGCTCACTACACATTTGGGGGCTGCAACTGACCTGCTGCTCTCACACTGGGCCACACTGAGCTCTTGGTGATTCTCTGAACACACTGTGCTCTAGTGAGCTGTTGGGCCCTTGCAGGGACCCCAGCAGGGGCATGTTTCTCAATGGTTGCAGGTCTGGGGTTGACCACCATCCTCCTCAAGGTAACCTCTGTCCTAGGAGGACAAGAGGAGCTGGGCAGCTTGGGCTCACCATCTTTGGAGCCTGAACTCTTCTGCCTCCCCTGAAAGGCTTAGGGCCCCTCTGCAGGAGGTGCTTCATTCCTTCCACATATGTGGTGAGGAGCTCTCCTGGGTGCAGGGCCCTGTGCTGGGAGCTGACCCCATGATGAACAGGCCCTGGTGCCTGCCCAGCACTTGGTCCAACAAAGAAAACAGGCCAGCTTGGCAGGGCTGCACTGTGGGAGCCCCAGGGGAAGCATCAATCAGAGGAGCTTCCAGGAAGAGGGGTCTTGGGACCTTATATGCTATAAGCAGGTATCCCGTGTTCTCCTCCCTGGCTAAACACTCCTCACCTTGTCCTGCACCAGTTAGGATTCTTACTTCTAAGGAGGGAGGTGGGTGTAGCTGCTGGGGCCCAGCCCTCTGGGGATGATGGAGGCTATGTGCAGCAGGGTGCCTCCCCTCTCCTGGCTGTCCGCCTGCCTGCCTCCCTTTTCTCCCTTCCAGGCCTGAGGGAGAGGGTGGAGGAAGGAGGTGCTACACTGATTAAGGCTAATTAACTCTTAGCCTGGCAGGCGGCGGGTGCTGCCTCTTCAAAGGCCCAGGCAGCAGCCATTACCCGCCCACCCCACCCTCTGAGACCAGACTCAGCATCTCTGCGCGTGGGGGCCGTGGCCTCTGCATCCAGCCTGACCTGGGCTCTGGCCTTCTCACTTCTACCAGCCTGTGCCTTCTGATTCAGCTACCACCAGCCTGCAGAGGCTGTGCCTTTTGCTGGAATGCCCTTCTTCCCAGCAACCCTCTCAGCTCCAAGGAGCCCCAGGGCCCAGTCCCTCCCAGCCTGTCCATCACAGCCCTGGGCTGCTACCATGGTCGTGGGGAGTCCTATGGGAGTGGGCCTGAGGTCTGTCTGACTCTTCCGTGTTGCTCAGCTAGACCCAGGGTCCCAGGTAGGAGGGAGACGGAGTAGCAGGGGAGGAACATGAGGAACAGAAGTTCTGAGGTGAGGAGCTTGGGGCTAGCAAAGATCAAGGACCAGGGGTAGCGGCCACCCCACCACCACCACACCGCTTGTGACAGCTTCTGCCGGGGTCACTGACATGCCACTAGCCTGCCATGCCTTCCACTTGAAGCTCCTGGGCCAAACAGCAGGCTGGCAGGGCCTGCGGGCCAGGTGGGAAGAAATGGGAAGGAATGTCAAGGGTGTGGGTGTGGGTTGGTGAGAGGACAGGAGAGACCAGATCAGGACTTGGCTCAGATGGAGCAGAGCAGAAGCTGCTTCTGGGGAGACCAGAGGCTGGGGCACGAGGCGGCCTGGGTCCCAGGCCAGGATGCTGGAGCATGGAGGGGGTTAGTCAGGATTGACACCTGGAGAGGGGCAGGGCCCCTGGCCCAGCAGTGGAGGGTGGGCAGAAGAGCTGGGATCTCTAGTGGTCAGGGGTGCATGCCCAGGACCCAGGGTGAGGAGCACCCTGCGCAGGGTGGCAAGAGAACCCTTGCCTGCAATGAGCTCACACTTACTGCCAAATGGCGTGTCCCAACAGCACTCTTCCAACAGGAGCCTGGATGTTTGCATCGCCAGGAAAATTGCCCAGAGCTCTTGGGGGCCCCTACCCCAAAGCTAGAGGGTACACAGTTCGGCTGGCCAAGCCAGCACTAGAAGGATGTGCCCTGCACCAGCAGAGTGTGACCCAAGTGGCCCAGAGGGTTAGGGAGTGGGCAGAACTTGGAGAGGGCCCAGGTGGACATGTGAGGACTCTCTGGGACATGACCTCCACTATTCATGGCCAAGTTTACCTCTACAAGTCTCCTGGGAACCCAGGCCAGAGGATGGGGCCAGATATAGCCCCTGCCCTCAGGGACTCCCCAGCCCCTACAGGAAGGCATGTCCAGAAGATGACTTGGACCATACGTGCTGGGGAGGTGTCTGGCAACGGTCCCTGGGCACAGAGGACAGAGGGGCTCATTCCTTGGTTAGGAGGTATCAGTGAGGGCTACACGGACGAGGGTCCACTGGGGTTGCATCATTGAGTTGAGTAAGGAGGGGATAAGTAGGGCCAGGAGGAAATTGGCAGGGGTAGGGGCACAGAGGCCAGAGAGCCCTGCCGCCTGTGTGTGGCCTGTCCTGAGTGCTGGCTCAGGGGCCTCAATGGGCTGCGGGCTTAGAGTTTAGGGAGACAGATTTCTGATGTTGCTGGGAGAGGGAGGGTTGATTCTACCAGACGGAACCCAGCTCAGGGTGACAGCAGCAACCCAGAGAGGGCTGTGACAAGAGAGCAATTCAAGGGGTGGATGAATAAGATCCCTGGCTTCTTCTCTCCCATCATTTCTGGCATTCTCCTTTCTCTGGCAATTTCCTGTGCATCCCTCAAATCCCACCTCTGATGCCTCCAGCCTCATGGGGCTGCAGAAGCCCATTATTCAGCCACTCCTTGGTTTCCAGGCACCAACCAACCATACCTTCCCACTAGCAGAAGCTCCCGCTCGCCAGCACGGGACCGCAGCCGCCTCCAGATGTCCATGGTAAAGAGCGTGCTGCTGCTATTAAAGATGGAGGTCAGCGATGACATGAGAGCGGCCATCATCACTGCGATCATTAGCCCTCGGAGACCTGGGGTGGGGACAGCGGCTTGTTGAGACCCTATCTGGCCCTCATGTGGCCCCCAGAGCCCCTCCTGTTTGTGCTCAAACACCTGAGACCCGACCGCTGTCACCCTCAAGGTGCTCTACAGCTATTTACAAAGCCCGGAGGGCAGAGGCTGGAGAGGACAGAGGCTGAGGAGGTTTGAGTGAAGAAGGCCCCAAAATAGTTGGCTGGGAAGGTGAGAGACAAGCTGTGGTACTGGGAACTCTTGGCTGGTGCCTGTGGCCTGCTGCAGCACAGTTCCCAGCTGTAATTACCCGGCGTGTTGCTGTTATTACAGCCCTCTCATTTCCACAGAGCCTGGCGCTGACAGGGCAGTTTCACACTGTGACTTCATTGGAGGGAAAAATCACCAACCGTTTGACAGACAGGGAAATGGAAGCTCAGAGACAGCAAGAGAGCTACCTGGGAACTCACAGCAGGCCACAGGCAGAGACTGGGGGTAGCATGGGGTGGGTAAGGTTTGGGATGGGACCCTCTGCTTGGCAGTCACGCCCTGGGCAGGGCACATGCCTCATCCCCATGTGCAGGGGCCTTGTCTCCGGAATTTCCCGCCGCATCCTGTGCAGGGCAGGCACCAGCAGGCATAGGGCAGCCCCTGGCCTGGATCCAGCTCTGGGGCAGAGACGTAGCCTCCAGAGCAAGAGGAAGAAATTCACCCTAGCTCTTGCCTGAAAGCCACTGAGCGGTCCCGGCAGGACTGGGGGCAGTAGTGACGAAGCTCCTGGGAGTCTGGGCTCCTGGCAGGCCTGAGGAGGGGAGCCCTAAAGGAAGTGGAAGGGTGTTTGTCTGCAGGCTCAGGCTTTTCACCTCTCCTCTCTGAGCCTTTCTCTGAGTAGGTCTCCAAAGACTCTTGCAATTTTTCTTCACTGTTTGAGCACCTTCTCCACTGCAGAAGACTCCCTGCTCAACTTTTTCTCCCTTTGCCCTCGGATGGGCCCAACACGGGCTCTTCTCCCATGAGGTGCATCCTCAGAGGGGCCCATTGTGGCCTGGCTGTGTTGCCTGGCCATGCTTCTGAGGCTGCCTTGCTGTATGACTCTGGGTCACCCCTGTCTGTTCACTTGTTAGGCTGGCTGGGATGGAGTCCAAAGGAAAGGGAGTTAAATTATGGTTCTCCTCAAACACTTTTCTACCTTTCTTGTCTTGCTCAGGGAGGTAGATTCATTTGGGGGCTGCTTCCACCCATTTCTCAGACAGGGAGTTGGAGGCCAAGGAAGGAGTGGTGACCGAGTGTTGGCTGGGTGTGATGAGTCCCCTGCGAAGGACAGAGGAGAAAGCACAGCCCAGAGGTTTGGAGCCCACAGTGTGGCCAGGCAGTATCTCTGTGTCATTACTCTTAACCCCAGGAAGGATGCGGAGGGGTGGTGGGAGTCATCATCCCCAATTTACAAGGCTCTGAGCAGGGAATTGACATGGTGCAAATACCACCCCGGCGAGTAGCAGAGCCCAGGTGTGTTCCCAGGGCTGTACACTGGTGTCCCTGGGCCTGGGCTCTGCAGGAGGGAGGGAGGGAGAGAGGGATGGGCAAGGATGGGGCTGACTCGGGGCCAGAAAGCTTGGGAGGTCAAGGGAAAGTCAAGCACTGGAACTGAGAGGAAAGGCTCAAGCTGCAAAGAGCCTGGAGAGCTGTCTCTTCTGACCTCCCCACGGCTTGGTATGCTGCTTCTGCATGCACACCTCCTGTGATTGGGAACTCACCACCTGTAACAGACCAGCAGGACTGCTGCATTTACAAGAAACACAGAAAAAGCCAGAACCACAGTTCTACTCACTGGCCTGCAGTAGTTGGGTGAGGTGGAGGATTGAGTTTTGTGCCTGCAGAGATGGAGGCCTGGGGGTCCCGACTCTTGATCCCAACAGAGTAAGCAGTGGACTTGGGTCTATGTGTCAGTCACTCTGTAACCTGACACAGATCATTTCCACCCCTGTGCCTGTTTCCCCATGTGTAAAATGGAGCTAATGACTCTGATGTTAGATGAAATGGTGTTGGTAAAAAAAAGCCTTGGCACCCAGGAGGTGCCTAAAAAATAAAGCAGCATGCTTTCTTGAGGGATGGCACAGCGCAGGTCAAGAGGATGAACACTGTAGGAAGATCAGCAGGAGTCAGGTCCCAACCGGCCCACTGACTTGTGCGTGACCTTAGCCAGGACACTTCACCTCTCTGGGTATCAATTTCCCCATCTTTGAAATGAGATTGAAGCTAACAGCACGAGGGACTAGGAGAAGATGAAGTGAGTGAGCACATGGGAAGCCAGGCAGCACCGACCACCAGCACGAGTGCATCTGCTATGGTTACTTCTTCTCCTCTAGGACAAGAATGTCCCAGCTGGATATTACAGTGTCACAGTGCATCCCAAGCTCCCACCCAACCCCCACAACTCCCTTGGGCCCCTGCCCAGACCCCCACCCAGAAACCTCACCGTTGGGCATCAGCTCCATGACCAGCTTGGGGTAGGCAATGTTGGAGCAGCCGATCTCAGCCCCACAGGCTCGCAGGCACTCGGACGGCACCACGCAGCCCACATCATCTGCCAGAGATGCGTAGTCAGTGCCCACACGGACCCACACTGCCCCTCCCCACAGACAAGGACTCCTGGAGAGATGAGAGCGGGAGGGGCACAGCATGGGCTGGACCTGCACCATCATGACCTCTGCTGACTGCTAGGTCTGGATCTGCTTCCCAGCGGGAGCCTTGAGGAGAGGTTGGCCTCGGCAATTTCCTGGCTCCTCTCCCATCTCTTGTCCTCTGTCTCATTCACCATTATTTTCCCATCATCCTCTGCTGCACACCCCAGGCAGGGGCTCCCTGCAGTCTGCACGAGGGGCCAGCTGGCCTGTGGAGCCCATCGGGGTGCTGGTCTCTGTCCCAGCTGCTCTCACAGACTGCCCAGGCAGATGGGCCACAGTGAGAGCCAGGTGCCCACTCAGCTCGCCTGACCTCCCCTGCTGCAAGGAGCGGGGTCAGGGCTGCAGGCTGCTCTCTGTGCTCCTTCACGGGCAGAGCTGGATGCCCGAGACTCTCTAGGTGTTGGGCTTTCACAATGGCCAGACCTTCCAGCAAGCTGCCCCTCACCCCAGGCATTCCCTCCTGACCTGCCTCGCCCTGCTTTTGCTGTTTGCCCCTCACCCGACCCCCGACATAACTTCTTCACTTACTCAGATCCATCCTTGGAAAGCTCCTCCACCTAAAACAACTCCATCCCCTTACTGTCTGCCCCCTCATCCGACATGACCTCCCATCGTCCTCTGTCATCCCAGGGATGACTGGATGTGCTCTTTGGGTTCATGTCTCTTTCCTTTGGTGGGTGAGCCCCAGGAGGGCAGGGACTGTCTTGGGCTGCATCTCCCTGAGGTGGAGACAACATGCACTGGCCAGCTGTTGAATGGCAAAAGGAATTTGTGAACTTCAGGCTCCACCCAGACTCTGACTGAACCCTAAATCCGGGCATCCCTGGTGCACTGTTGAGTAGAGGTCCTGTCTCCTGCCCCTGTGGGGCCAGAACCTGAGCTCTGCTCTCACTCCCATGCCATGGGCAGGTGCTTCCTCCTCTAGAATACCCCACTCCCCCGTTTACAGTAGGGCCCACGAAGGGCAGAGAAAACTGGGAGATGCCAGTGGAGGTAGAGGTTTAGAAACAAGCCCTCTGACCATGCTCACATGCAGTTACTTGATGACAGTGCCCCTCCAAATGCCCCTGCTGGAAGCCTCCCTCCCATTTCCAGTCCCCACCCTAGCACCACACCCGAGGCCCCAGACCAGCCCCTCCTGACCTCCAGGCCTGCTGGGCATCTGGCCCCTGGGACCCCCAGCACCATGGCTCAGTGTGTCCTTCTTTCTCCTCTTCTAGCCCTTGCTCTCCTCTGTCCTCCTCCTTCCTCTGGCCTGGATCCCAAAGCCACAGCTCTTATCACCGCTGACTTCTCAGGAAACCCCTTCACACCCCATTCCTGGCAGCCTACACATTTCTGGGATAAAAAGTCCTTTCTAATCACTCGAGGCTCTTGACAACAGGTCCCAGAACCTCTGTTCCAGTGCCCAGCACCCTGGTACCTGCCACCCTAACCTGCTTGTGTTTTCTCACACACACCCAGCACTTTGCTGCCTTGTGCCTCTGCAGACGCTGCCCCTCCTTCTGTTCCCATTTGTGTCGCTACTGTCCTTCCACACCCACCCCCACCCTTGTTTACCTCTTGTTTCAAGGCCTACTGCAAAGGCTGGTCCTCTGAGGCTGCCTGGACTGCACCCCCAGCCCCAGGCACAGCAGCTCCCTTCCTAGGGCTGGGGCAGCCAAGGACTGAATCACAGTTGTTTGTTTACCTAGTCCACCTTCCCCACCAGGCCCTGAGCTCCCCGAGGGCAGACACTGTGCTTGAATCATCTGAGTCCCAGGTATCACCCAGCCCAGGGCTGGACCTAGAGGAGACAGTTTGTGAAATTTGTTCAATGAATAAGAGTGAATGGTGCAGAGGAAAAGGAAAAGCACAGAAGGAAAGGAAGAAAGGCAAAAGGGATCCCAGAAAGAGCCATGAAGGAGTTCAAGCACTGCCTGATCCAGTTGCCTACCCTACCACCTCTATTTCCGTGAGTTTGAAGGACCAGAAAGGACAAAATTGCTGACATGCACAGTCACAAAGGCAGAGTCTGGAGACCCATAGCAGGACACTGGGCCCCTGGGCCCAGGCCTCAGAGGGCAGCTATGGGTGCCTTTTCACAGGCTCTGGGCCTAGACTGGCTGGCTCTAGCACCTGGAGGACCCAACCCTCCTGGGAGGAACCAGTGAAGCATCACAGCCACATAATGGCCCAAAAAGCCCAAGTCAGGAGATTCTTCCCGAGTTTATTCAGCCCGTTCCTGCCTCTTGGCATGGGGCTCCGCCTCTGGGCCCTGCAGGCTGGACGAAAGGTTTGTGCTGAACAGCAAGAAAGAACAACCTCACCTCTATGAGGGCAATGGCTGCATGTCACCATTTAAACAGTTCCTCAGAGTGCCGTCAGGGTGAGCAGCCCAGGGAGCTGGGTTGGGGTCCTGCGCTTGCCCCAGTGCTGGCTTCTGCCCGCTTCTGCATTAGCATCCCTGTCCTGCCAGGGCCCATCCTTGCCCTTACGGCCTCGTCCCCATTGCCATGACCAAGTTGAACTTGGCTGCTGGGGGGACTGTACCACGTCCTCATGGCTCCTCCAGTTTACCCTCCTCTAAATCTAAGCATCTGCCCACCTTCCTGCCTTGCAGCCCTGGGCTGACTGTGCCAGTCAGTTTCACCCAGACTTCTGACAGGCACCCACATTCTCTTAGACACCTTTAGGCCTCTGTGTTTGCTTCTCTCTTCTCTCTTTCATAAACTCAAGGAACTCAGACTCATTTCTCAAATGTCTCGTCTGGAATGTCTGGGTTGCCCCGGTTTGGGGGCAACATTCTCCACAGCACCAATCACTCTGCAATGTCTGTGTGTCTTGCTTCCCATCCCACTATGACTACAGGCTTCTGGTAGAAGCCTGGCTCCAACAGTACCCAGCATAAGCCAGCACATGGCAGCTTCTGACAGTATTTATTGACTGGGTAAATGATCCTCTCCCAAAGAAGCCACTGGACATACCGCCTTCAGGGGCAATCAAGGCGCTCCAGTCACAGAGGCAGCCCAGACACTACTGAGGCAGCAGGGAGGAAAAAGACACACAGCTCTTCCAACTCCTTGTTGTGTGATTTTGGCTGATTATTTAAGGTCTTTGAAACTGTTTACTTTGTAAAAAGCCCTCTGGAGCTATCCAGAGGTTAAACTTGATCCAAACTTCACACCTTCTTACAAAAATTAACTCAAAATTCATCAGATTTAAAGGCAGAATATTAAAAAAATGGTCAGACATTTGGGAAGAAATCTTTAGAACTTAGGGCTAGGTAAAGAAGTTTTTGTTGTTGTTTGTTTTGTTTTGTTTTGTTTCATCTCTACACAGGATTTCACTATGCAGTCCAAGCTGGCCTTGAACTCACTGTGTAGCCTAGATGATCCTCCTGCCTCAGACTCCTTAATGCTGGGATCACAGGTGTGTGCCACCATGCCTGGCTTCTAGGTGAAGAGTTCTCCATGTGACACTAAAAGTATGATCCACAAAAGGAAAACTTGACAAACTGGGCCTCACTGAAATTAAAAACAAAACAAAATCTTGGCTCTGTGTAAGATATCTGTGAAGGGGATAACAAGGCAAGCCACTGGCAGGGAGAAAATATATTTGCAAACTACATATCAAAACTCAACAGTAAAAAAACTAAAACCAAAAAATGGAAACAAAGTCTTTGTAAATAGGGAAGGGTGAAGGAGGCAAAGGGAGGAGAATGTGGAAAAAGCAAGAACCAAGATACAGCACATAAACATACAAGATCCCAGTGATGAATGTAACTGTATTGTTTGCTTTAAATGTACCAATAAACTTAATGAAAAAAACCAAAAACAAAAAACAAAAAAACAAACCAACCAAAAACCAATGAAATTATCCATTAAAAAATGGGTAAAAAGCCAGGGATTTAGCACAGTGGTTCCACCACCTGCCCCACAAGTGCAAGGTCTGAGTTCAATTCCCAGTACCCCCCCCCACAAAAAAAGACAAAAGACATGAAAGGCATTCACTAAAGAGAACGTGCAGCGGCTAATTTGCTCACAGGAGGATATTCAATGACAACAGCCACCACGAAAGTGCAGATGGCAGCCACACTAAGAGTGTGACTATCGGCACAGCAGCACTTTACTGGCATGCAGGAGGCCCTGGGCTTAATCCCCAGCACCATGAATATAAGTAAATAAGATCACAGTAAGATATATATCGCACACCTATCAGATGGCTGAAATAAACAAACAGTGGTAATACCACAAGTTGGCAAGAATGTAGAGAAAAGTGGAACCACCCACACATTAGTGGTAGGAATATAAGATGGTACAGCCACTCTGGAGAAAGAGTCTAGTAATTTGTTAATGAACACAGGATTACCACAAGACCCAGGAATTTCACTCTGGGGCATTTATCTCCCAGAAATGAAAAGATGTGGAGATATATGTGTGTGTGCGTGTGCGTGTGTGTGTGTGTGTGTGTGTGTGTGTGTATAAATGCATATTCATTGCAGTTTTAGTTGTAATGGTCAAAATTGGAAACAATCTGGGCATAGTGGTGCACACCTGTAATCCTAGCACTCAGGAGGCTGAGGCAGGAGGATTGCTGTGAGGTCAGCTGAACTATGTAACAAGTGCCAGTCTCAAAACAAAACAAAACAAAAAACTGAAATCAAGTTAGTCATGATAGCATATGCTTGTAATTCCAGCACTCTGGGAGACTAAACCAGGAGGATCACAAATTTAAACCCAGCCTGGGAAATTTAGTGATTTAACAAGCCCCTGTCTCAAAGTTGAAAAAAAAAGCGGGTGAGGGGGAGGGGAGCTGAGAATGTAGTTCAGTGTAAAGGCCCTAGGCTCAATTCCCAGTACAGGGTGGGGGTGGGGGAGAACCCACCTGTCCTTCATCCATGGAAATGGTTGAACAAACTATGGCATATCTACACCACAGCAATAAGAGAGGATGAACTAGATGGTCTCACCGGGCGTGGTGGCACACGCCTGTAATCCCAGCACGTGGGAGGCTGAGGCAGGAGGATTGCTGTGAGTTCGAGACCAGCCTGGGCTATATAGTGAGTTCCAGGTCAGTCTCAACTACATAGAGAGACCCTGTCTCAAAGTAAA